ACTTTAAATCAAAATAATACCAACACAATAGACCAAACTTAATTCTCAAATACAGTTGCGACTGTATTTCATTAACACAACAATGCTTAAATACTTTGTTAGGTCAGTGAACATAGCTTTACCGCAATTATACAACAACATGCTTTACTTAACTGGTACATTTTTATATTAAATTGTCAGTTTTGTGCAAGAGAAATCTGTGCTATCATTTTTAAAATTTCATAGTAAATACTAATGTGTTGTGACCATTGTGTTGGTATTATTTGGATTTAAAGAATAGAAATAATAATAATTATTATTATTATGTTAATTTTCCCACTCAGTTATTATTATAATACAAATACATGTATTATGGCTACCGAAACCATAATATAAATAATACCAGCCTTTTAAGAGACTAATAGATGTTGGGAAATCAAGATTACTTGAAAACAGGCAATACATCCATCATTTTTATTATGCTATTTCACAAAATAAATTGTCTATTTCATAATTAGAACAACAAATATCTTACTACCAAATGAAAGCTCTCCACCTGTGGTTTGTAAACGATTCGATTATAGATAGAGTGACTGGACAAATCTATTACTGTGCATGGTGTATAAGTAATGATCTCGCCATGAAACAAAGTCGTCAGTTCAAGCAGCATCATATATAATATTGTAAATTTTGTCGCGATCCCGGTCTGGGCCAATAGTAATTAATTATTTACCGTGGTCATTTCATTGGGCAGATGCGGAAAGACGAAAGAATCTACACATTGCATGCAACTCAATTTCTGATTATTGGGCTAATGATAATTTAATGATAGATCTCTTGTGACTTGAAATTCACCAGCCTACAGATTGTACAAGAATGGCAGAGTCGAAAGGATCTACTTCTGGTGGTTCTTCCGCTGAAGTCGTTCTCGAAACCAACCCACGCGGAATTCCTAAAGCTCATTTTGTGGTAATGTATGGGTATATTAGTACCTCTTCCAAAGGATTGTCTGGTCATATTCTAGACTGGATTATACTTTGATCTAAAGGGAAAATATAGTTCATTATTTGGTTGACTAAAAGGCGTTGTTATAGGACGATGTCGCTGAATATATGGAAAAGTCAACAACGTCCGCTGAGGCGACTTTGGCAAAATTCTCAGAAACTGTAGCGTAAGCATTCGTGTAATTTGAGTTATGTAAGCCATTCTTTGTAGAAATAAAACACGATGACCTGATTGAGTACTATTTGCGATCATCCAGGAAATATAAATTTATGGATATGAATCTACAGAATCGAAAGAAGGGGCTTGAGGTGAAAATACCGGAAATCAAAAAGACTCTCACAGTTATCAACTATTTAATCTTAAAAGAGGTGCGTAATTGATCATAACGCTAGGCGAAATCATCATACATTTATGTGTCAACTATAATTTTGTGTAGGGTTCCGATGAACCAATGGAGGTAACATTCGAGTTAAATGATACACTTTGGGCTGCTGCTAGAATGAAATCAACGAAGACCGTGAATTTATGGCTAGGGGTATGTTAATCCCATATCAGATAACTTTTTACATTTTCTCATTTATTAAAAATTGGACATATTTAAGGCAAACGTGATGCTGGAATATACACTGCAGGAAGCAAAAGATCTTTTGGAACAAAAACTCAATACCGCACAAACGACACTCAAAAACGTGCTTGAAGATCTCGAATTTCTACGTGATCAAATAACGACAATGGAAGTCAGTATCCTTTTTTCATTTGGTATAAAACAGTTGCGTCGACCTTTGCGATTACGTGGTTTCCTGTTATTTCGTCCTTAATACTTATCCAACTAAAGATGTGGCAAGATTATACAACTGGGATGTAAAGCAAAGGAGATTAAGTAAGAATAATACCCAGACCTCTAGTGAGACTCCAGTAGTGAAAGGATAGCTTCAACGAACTATTAATGAGGAGTCTAAAGTTCTAAATCGACCAAAGACCGGCTCGATATCAGAACGCGTGTACGATGGAAAATATGGTGCAGAGAACTACACTTTATGTATATTGATACTAAAAAATAAACCGCCCCCATAATGCTTAATACGCGTCCTCAGTTGCGGATCGTATATACTTTGGCTTTACTACCTATTAATACGATCTCTTAGAATGACTGGACATTCATCCTATCCCTTTATATCTTTTAAGATTATGTTTGATGAGATAAAGCTTATATTATTTCAAGCGTCACAATTATTTCTATCAATATCTTTTGCAGAACCGATATAATATCATCCCAACGCATTCGTGATTCTTCAAACGCGCATATATAATCGCGTTCATATTGAAACCCAAAAATTCTGCATCTACGGTTCAAACGTAGAGGCATACAGGTCTCGAATTGTTCCGAGTCGTAGCACATCATACAGTTCGATATACCGCAATCGCGTGTGCAGTAGTCTCAATACACATGTCATTAGGAATTTCGGTCACCACATCAACGCTTTATTTGGCTTACACAGTCGAAGGCATTGGTTTTTGAGTAATTTTATTAAGACAAAAACCATTGTGTTATTAAGTCAAATGAGTGTAAGAAGATCTTACTCTTGATTGAGAGCATACCAAGAACACTTGAGGCAGTATCTCGGATAATGCAGTAGAAACCAACTCAATTTAAAAGTAAAACTTTTTAATTCTTGATTCACTGTTCAAATTCAAAAAGCTAAAACACTTCAAAATTTACAGATTCCACAAGTTGATCCAAATTTCTATTACTATTACACCAGACTTGCATAAAGTTAAAAAAACAACTCATCGGCTATTTTCAGAGTGTATCATGACGTTTCACTTCAGAAACATACTGTAGTAGCTCTTAACATATAAATTCTTTCCTATTTTTGACAACCAGCTCGGTTCTATCTTCATTAAACCTGCAACCCAAATTCAAGTAAATTAATTGAACCACATACTATTATTCTCACTTCATTTATAATAAATTGTGTACAGACCTTTCATCCATACTTTACTTGTTCTCTGTAGTTCCTGATAAACTACAAAATCAGGTGGTTGTTGATGATAGAGCACAGATGATGGATGAATATATACATCTTCGTCTGTCAACATAATCCTATAGGCTATTCCACGTGTAGATGAATATGTATTAGCAGCTTTATCCAGTAGTCCCTTTCTGATTGCTACTTGGTCAATGAATCCTGCTGTTATTATCTGACGAATAACTTTCAGCTAAAAACATAAAAGTAAGTTTAGCGAATCCAAATCATAAATAACGAACTGACGAATAACCGCCATTTAGTTACCTGTAGTGATGACGGAGGTGGCATCTTTGGATCTACGTATACGTTTGCTCCTGGGCAGTTTACTTGCACTATGTTTGTTATTTGACCACGAAGTTTATGTATTTCATGCATTGCCTATTGAAATAACGCGTTTTATAAATCTTACGTTTAGCAAATAGGAAACTTATTGTGTTAAGAAAATTCTCAGTTACCTTTGCTCTAACAAAGTTTTCTTCACAAAACTTATCCGTTGCTCCAGCATATTCATAGGCACCGACCACGTTTAACAGCTTCAAGAAATCACTTGACGGATCACGTCCAGCATGTTTCTAAGAACAGTGTCAGAATCGACATTAGCAATTCACGAATGCAAATTACATTAATAACAAACAAAACCGGCAAACTTACCATATGAGCTTCATAAAACTTCTTTCTTCTTAGTCGACGGTGTTCCTTCTCAGCAATATCTAAATTATCAATACCGGCGAGTTCCTGTTCGTCAGTTTGCATCTCGCGCATTTTGTCATTATCCTCGTCCATTTCTTTATCATTTTCTTCTAGATCCTTAGAACTGTCCAAATTGTCTTCTCTTATGAATGGATCTCCGACAGACAATGCTGCTACTATCGTAATAATATATGGAAGACACCCATGTTGCTGTCCGATAATCAGCATTTTCGAAAATCTGGGTAGTACTGGAAACTGGGCCATCAATTTGCCTAAATCTGTTATCCTTCCATTCTCATCCAAAGCGTTTAAATACTGCAGCAATTTCTCTGCCCTTCCTAGCTGAACTCTGTCTGGAGGAGTAGGAAATGGGAAGTTGGCAACAACATCGATATTCATAGATTTCATCTGTAGTACCACGCCTTCAATGGGCATTCTAAGTATTTCAGGTAGGGTGAATTGTGGAAACTGATCGTTAAATACGGCCGATGAGTATAACCGATAACAATGACCAGGACCAGTACGCCCTGCTCTTCCTGCTCTCTGGTCTGCAGATGCTTTGGACGTCCAGTTTATCGTATATGACTGCACACCCGTGTTAGCGTCGTATTGACGCTCTTTGACTTTCCCACAATCCACCACGTATTTTATTCCAGGAATTGTGAGAGATGTTTCAGCTACATTTGTCGCCACTACACAAAGACGCGTTCCTTGCGGTGGTGGTTGGAAGACACGTAATTGAATTTCTGTTGAAAGAAGAGAATATAATGGAAGGACATAGAGAGGGGCTGGCAAGATAAGAGTATGAATTATTATAACAAAAATCACAATCATGAATTAGTAGAATACTACAATTATTTTCTTATTGAGTTCTTATCTTACTCACAATCTTCATCATCTTCGTCTTCACTGAATTCATCGAAATCCGAATCAAAGGTATCAAATTCGTCTTCAATGTCTTGATCGTCCGATTCTGTTATGTCAACATCCCCGATAGACACTTCTTCCACTTCAACGTCAGCTGAAAGTGACATTCAAGTATATCATAAATAAGCAAACCAAGTAATTTCAATAACTCAAAAGCTACAATCATACCGTTCTTTGCAGTCAACTTTTCCCTAATTCCTTCCAAGGTTTCGCTTAATGACGTTTCTTCCTCTTGCCTCAGTTCGTCCGAATGTCTGCTCTTTGTTGGTAGTGTAAGCGGAAATCGTTTCCGTAGCTTTTTACATAATGTGGATATTTCATTTTGCCCAGTTTGAAACACAAGAATTCCTGATAGTAAACGTTTAATTTTAACCCGTATCGTTGTTTGAACAGCATCCAATGTCATGATTTCGGTTGCTTACCACCAGCGGGTAATTTTTTATGTATTTGGCATACTTTCTTGTATGCTTTGGTAACATAATCATATTGAGCTGTTCTTCTACTGAAGTGAATGTTGACCTTTCGTAACAGTGTAAAAGGATAAGCGTCCGATATCGATAATGAATGCTTTTAATGTAAATTCTTACCTCATACTGTCTAGCTTCAATTTTCAGCACCGGAGGTGGTATTTTGAATAAGGTACTATTTTCTGTGAAATCAGATACTCTTAACGTAGCCGACATAATAATTATCTTCAGAGGCTGTAAAAACGCAAGTGTCACATACCGATCTCATGCCAAAACTCGTATATGGTTATCAGAGAAGCCGTACCTTTATCTCTCCTTTCTGCTCTTGACTTAGTTCATCGCGTAGTCGTAAGACGCGACTTACTACACCAATTAATATGTCCGTATTTAAATTTCTCTCATGAGCCTCGTCTATTATTATTACAGAATATTTAGACAAAAGAAAATCGCTGGATAGTTCACGTAGGAGAACGCCATCAGTCATGAATTTGATTACAGTCTTGGGGGATGTAGTAGTATCATAGCGAATCTGTAGGTTAATCAGTTAGTAAGTTAGTGTATTGTAACCACTGTATGCTTTAAATAATGCTTTATTTACTTGGTATGACACTTCTTCATCAGATAATCCTAATTCATAAGCAACACGCTTTGACATACTGACGGCAGCAACTCGTCGCGGCTGAGTAATTCCAATTATCCCCGGATTATCTGATCAAAGTAAAGCATCAATTCTTGTTGTCGACGGCATCAACGTTTTATCAAAAATATGTCAATATATACCACTGCTAGGATTGCCGTATCCAGCTTCATATAAAAACTGTGGCACTTGAGTAGTTTTCCCAGATCCAGTTTCACCACATATTATAACAGTTGGGTTTTCATTTATTGTCTCCATTATTAGCTGCTCTTCTCGACATATTGGCAATTCCATTCTTGCCTTTTGTATTTCGGGATCTCTTGATACAGGAACATAAAAAGCCTGATTTGTGAAACATAGTAGTTTAGTTGCAGATAGAAATGCGATTATTGACAGAGCGTAAAATAGCTTAATAAAGATGGAGCAAGCAGACTAGAATGGGAATGCTGTAATTCTAAACCAGCGTCACTATTTCACATGATGATGGGGTTTTCGGGAATTTATTGTATTCACAATTTTTTTAAATTCACCATTTTCTTTGGCTTTGAATCGTTTGCATCCTCAGGAGTTATTTTTTCCGGCAATATCTTTGCGGCTGTCTTTGCGAGATTGAACAGAATATACATCAGTATACTAACTCTTGGCATCAATTGCAGATTTGTTTAGTGAGTGACCTTACCCCCTGTCCTAAATGCTTGCTTGACTTCATATCCTCGGACCAAAAGGATGATTTTGAAAGCTTTTCCAGTAACACAACCCTCTCTTCCTTCTTGAGTTTCTTTTTCTACAATTATCACAAAAACGGAATAATTATCTAGTGACTGGCTGGGCTAATCACATTTACTTCGATATTTGATATTAGTGCGACTTTTCCTTACTATGTAATTGTCCAATCGTTTCTTTTTCTTACTGGACATTTTTTTTGGTACATTCATCTGAGTTAAGTAAATTATTTCGATCAGAATTGTAAATCTCATAATTCAGAAGACGAGCATTGCCATAACATTCATACTTTTTCTTTTGTATT